TGGATATATTTGTACTTAATGTGGGAAAAAGAGAAGAAATTGCAGCAAAATATCACAAATTCGCAGCATTTCAAAAGCAGAAAAGAGTAGTGATAGAAACATTAAGAGAAGAGGGAGAAAGACAAAGGAAGACCAGGTCCTGAAGTTAATCCTTCTCACTCAAGGTCTTCATTCAAAACACCCAGCAGAACCAGTCACAGTAACTCAGCAAGGATCCATGGTAATACTGGAGAAAAATATATCATAGCAAGGTCTTCATTTAATTGTTGTTTACCTGCCCCCTCTTTTTCTATTCATAGGGAATGCCCAAAGCCAATGTCATGGTCTAAGAGGAGTCTGCTATCACCCTAACTGTCCTTCTGGATTACAATACCTTGGGCAAGTGGACTGTCGATGGGGAGCAGTATGCTGCTGACCGTAAGAAAACTCTCCTCTAATAGAGATACTACAGATACATTATACAGTATATTGAGATTTTCTGCCTGATATTGTTTGTATTCACAAAGCTTTGCAAAGCACAGAATTTACCTCAGACTCACTTTGAGCAACCTATTATTTTATCTCATTTGTATAGACCACATTGAAAATAATGCCATTTCCATTTACCACCCGGAATGTCTTCAAGATATGGCCAATGACCTGAGACTACCGCCTGCTATCGCTTTACCTTTTTTTTACATGAATCAAATTGCTATGTATCAATCTCAAAAACATTTATGCATTGAAGTAAAATTTGGCAAATATTTTTCTTGAAATATTCTTTGAAATAAAGCTAAATGAGCATTGCAGACATTGTGCAACTTCTTTAACAGGGGCCTGGGCATTATATTCCTATGAGAGAAAGGGGAGGGAGGGAGGGAGGGAAGGAGGGAGGTCTCTGCCTACATTTCAGTGTGGAAGGTGTTACCTGCTTTAACCACATATTATGGAATAATTTCACACAGTCTCCTTCTTCCCTTCCCTTTATTTGTTGTAGCGGTTCCTTTGTCACTGAGGTCTTCCAGCTGATGTGATTGCTTGGGCAGAAGTAAGATAAAATCAAATTTAAGCTGTTAGCTAAGACCTTGGAAAGAAGCAGAAAAGAATTTCTTAAGTTTATATTTTTCTCAAGCTAAACACTTTGGGACGCTACTTAGCATAAGAATGACTTTGTCCTATGACTCAATATCACCATAAATTGGATGTTGATAAAAGAAAGGAAGATGTAACAAGAGGAAATCTGCATGAGAGAAAGGTTCTTTTCCTGGACCATTCTTTTTGTTAAATAGACAGACTAACAGATGTCATAAAATTTATTTTAGTTACCAAGATAAACAAATAGATAGACTACACAATAAAATCAAATGATCAGAGGGTGTGTGTGTCAGATAGAATCTGATGCAGATAAACACACATAGCCAACAAGTGAAGGATAGTATTATGGACACTGATCTTAATAAAGACATGTGATTTAACAATATACACAGGTGAAAATATAATTTTTTACAACAAATATCTGCATTGGAAAATAATGTCATCTCTATCTACCACCCTGGATGTCTTCAAGATATAGCCAATGACCTGAGATTATGACTTGCTGTTGCTTTACCTTTCTTTACAAGAATCAAATTGCTATCAAAGTCCAAAATATTTATGCATTGAAGTAAAATTTGGCAAATATTCCTTGAAATAAAGCAAAATGAGCATTGCAGATATTGTGCAACTTCTATAAGAGGGAGCTTGGAGCAGTATATTCATTTGCCTATGTGAATGTGTCTCTGTTTGTATGTCATATCTCCTTGCCTACATTTCAGTGTGGAAGGTCTTTCCTGCTCTCCAACCACACAGTTTGCAATAAAGGCACACAGTCTCATTCTTCCCCAGTAGTTAAACTACTGGTATTAACTAAGACCCCACAATAAAACATAAAAGACCCAGCCTATGCTTTAGAATCTATTACAATTATTTTTTCAAACTAAATATCATGGGATAGTACTTAGAAAAAGAATGCCTTTGTCTGACCACTCAGTATCAGTATAGGCTGGGTCTCTTTAAAAGAATAGAAGATGTAGGGAAGACAAAATCTGCATGAGAGAGATCTCTTCCTGAACCATTCTGTTTGTTAAGTGGATTGACCAGCAGACGTATGCTCAGTAGTGTATTAACTATCAGGCAGACTAAGCACGTTGTTAGGAATATAAGTCACCTAACAGGTATTTGGGTTGGATAAACATTTTAATACTGTATCTTTAAGAAAACACAAAAATGTAATTGGGTGTGGTTTCTCAAACAACCATAAGATGGAGCCAGAAACCTGGGTTGTTTAGTCTTAGACTCAGAAGAAGTCTCAGTGAGTCTCTGTTTCCTTCTGTCAGAGAGTTTTGCCGTTCCTTCTAATTGACTGTTACTCATGGATTTGATATAAGTCTGATGCTGAACTGTTTTTGACATTGGACTTTGTTATTGGATTATCCCTGGACTAAAAACTGACTGATTTTACTTGTGAATGAGTTTGGACTGTGTTTGAACTTTGCTTAAACCTTTCTTGAAGTAAAATCCTACATTTACTGTACAGTGTATCTGTGTGCTGTATGTGTATTATTCAAACACTTCTCTCAAATACATCTCCCTGTATGCGCTCATTCTCCTAATGGGGAATGACCTCAACACTGGTTATGGGCCCAGGCCATACCTACTTGCTTTCTGAAATGAAAGTAATCATATGAAGTGAGGAATTATATGAAAGTTTATTCTGCAATTTTCTGAAAGAATTTTTGTTTTTGGTCTAAGTTCATCATGGTTTAAGAGATAATTTGTCCTCCACCCTCCCCCACTTTCCTTGTATAATGCTAAATTTTCTTTGCTTTGTGGACAAGTTAAGAAATGTTCTGGATTCTAATTTGCAAAATGAAAGTGGTTGTAAGAACAGGATGGAAAGAGATCTCAAACTCACTCAAGAGAGAACTTGAGAAGGATTCCATGGATGAAAATTTTAAAGGGCAAATCAACTCAAGAAGCTTGGGACACTTTTAGATGATAAAAGCCTAGTCCAGTTCAATACTTCTAAAAAAGAAAAACAAGAAAAGCAAGAAAAAAACCCAGCATGGTTGCACAAAGAACTCTCACACCAATTGAGAGGAAAAAAGAACAAGAGCAAAAAATGGAAAGATGTTCAGAAAGCTACAGAAAGCTACTGTATGTACTTATATACTGTAGCAACAGGCTTAGTTACTTGGATCATCAGGAATAGTAGGTATAAGAATTTCTCCCTCTTCCATTGGACTCTTTTATTCAGCTGAATGAGAATTGGTAGAGGAGATAGGAGAATCTCCTTTCTCCTCCCTGCTTGTGATAGAATTGCTCTTAGAAAAGATTCTGCCTTGAGTGGACCCCCTCCCCTACCAGTGTTGCCTCAGGCCCTCATGAAAGATGAACATGTAAAAACAGAAGTGACTCAATAATACATATAATGAATATTAGTAGACCAGTAAGACTAAAGTGGCAAAACTTGCAGCTCTGAAAAGAAAGCCATTGTTTAATAATACAGTTCTTTGCTCAAGAACCACAAGAAGCAGGTGAAGGCCATAAGTATTTCTAGTTGTGGCTTGAAGTCTAGAAAAAATGTTGAGCTCCTGGTATTACGCCAGAAGCAGTGAATTATCTTGTGTAATGAGTGTGTGCAGGTAGGGAAATGGAGACATCTCAGGGACAAACTGACATGTTATTTAGCAATCAAGTGAAATAATTATGACTTGGTTATGCAGTTATGCAGTCACCTAATCTTAGATCCAAACTAAATATGATAATTCATCATTTATCTCAAAACATAATTGTGGGCTTCCAGCCGAGGGAAATATGTATTTATCTGTTGTAGCAACAAACTAGGTTACCTGAATCATCAGAAAGATTCAGGAACTATAGGAATTCAACACTCTTCCCATGGACTCTTTTATTTAAAAGAATATGAACTGATAGAGGAAATGTAAAATCCACATTTTTTTTTGAAAACAATTTTATTGTTTTTTTTAACAAACAAACAAAACAGACAAAACATAAAAGCATCAGCTCTCTTCCGTACTTATATACAAACAGTGTGTCGGTTGGTTCATCAGTTTTGTGCATTCATTTCGTAGTCTCAATTACAGTTATGTTACATAATAACTCTTATTATCAATCCAAACTTGTATATCCTCATATCATTATTAAAAAAAATCATTTGACTATACTTTTATTCATTCATACTTTATGAGATAACTATAATTTAGGTAATTTATTCTATAACAAATCATATAATCATACCAATTCTATCCTAAAAAACACTTTATAGATGTGATGTCAAATAGCAAAAGAAAAAGAAAAAACAAAAATATTCCTTATTATCTAACATTCTAAATATTCTATTATTGTATTTCATCGTCCAACCATTGCTAGAAAAGGTCCCAAATTTTATAAAATTGTTTATCTTCTTGTTCTCTAATTTCAAATGTCAATCTACTCATCTCAGCGCATTCCAATATTTTCTTAATAATTTCTTCCTGCAAAGAAATTTTCTCATTTTTCCAATTTTTAGCAAATACAATCCTAGCCGCAGTTAATACATTTACAATCAGATATTTCAAGTCTTTACTGAATACATCTGGTACGATTCCCAATAAAAAGAGCTCCGGTTTCAAATCTATGTGTTTCTTTGTCATTTTTTCCAACCACATGCGGATTTTAGTCCAGTATTTTCTAGCATCCTCACAAGTCCACCACATATGGTAGTATGAGCCAGGTATCTGATGACATTTCCAGCATTTTTCAGATTTATTCTTAAACATTCTTGCTATCCTTGTCGGGGGGAAATGCCACCTGTAAAACATCTTATACGGATTTTCTTTATAAGCTGTAGACATTGTCATTTTATAATTTTGCGACCATAGTTTCTGCCATTTCTCTAAATCAATCCCATATCCAAAATTCCCCCCCAAGCAATCATAGTTTCTTTAACTTGTTCTTCCTCTAGCTTAATTCCCAATAAATAACCATATAGTTTTTTAATCACCTTTTCATCAGTACCTGTCAAGTTCTTATCTAAATCAGTCTGTTTATCATAAAATCCCTCTGTTTTGGAATCTTCATCATACCTTGAGTGTATTTGCACATATGAAAACCAATTCATCTTTATACCTTGTTCCTCTAGGTATCGATTTAAGTTCACCCTTTTCATCTAATAATTCCCCATATCTAACTGTTTGTTCCTTCTTATAAATTATAGGATAAGACAAAGCTTCTATCGTCGATAACCAAACTGGAATTTTCAAATAACATTGTTTTTTTATCTTCTCCCAGTTTAACCACAAAGACTCCCGTATATAATGTCTTCGAAAATAACCCTGTGTTTTGGTTCCCTTATACCATAAAAAAACATGCCAACCCAACAACAAATCATGACCTTCTAGTGTCAACAATCTAGTCTTTCTTAATGTTATCCATTCCTTGGCCCACATCAAATTTGCAGCTTGGTAGTACAGCTCCCAATTAGGCAGGCCAAAACCTCCTCTAGTTCTACCATCTTGCAAAAGCTTTAGCTTTATCCTCGCTTTCTTACCTTGCCATATATACTTCAACACAATTTTATTTAAGTTCTCAAAATAGTCTTTTCCAAGCCTAATTGGTATTGTTTGAAACAGAAATAAGACTCTGGGTAAAATATTCATCTTGATTGTTGAAATCCTCCCTATTAATGATAGTTGTAAATTTTCCCATTTCTTCAAATCTAAATCTGTTGTTTAAGTTTAATATAATTATTCTCTTTTAATGTACTACAT